GTCAGTCATACTCTACTACTGGATCTGGATCCAGGATCAGGCTTGTCAGTTATACTGTACTGGATCCAGGCTTGTGTCAGTTATACTTTTTACTGGATCAGGCTTAGTGTGTCAGTTATACTTTACTGGATCCAGGCTTGTGTAATCAGTTATACTGTACTGGATCCAGGCTTGCGTGTCGGATTATACTGTACTGGATCACTGGATCTTTTACCGGAGGCTTGCGTGTCAGTTATACTTTACTGGATCAGGCGTGCGTGTCAGTTATACTGTACTGGATCAGGCTTGTGTCCCAGATATTACTTTACTGGATCAGGTACTTATACTTTACTGGATCCAGGCTTGCGTGTCAGTTATACTTTACTGGATCCAGGCTTGTGTGTCAGTTATACTTTACTGGATCCAGGCTTGCAGTTATACTGTACTGGATCCAGGCTTGCGTGTCAGTTATACTTTACTGGATCCAGGCGTGTGTGTCAGTTATACTGTACTGGATCCAGGCTTGCGTGTCAGTTATACTTTACTGGATCCAGGCTTGTGTGTCAGTTATACTTTACTGGATCCAGGCTTGTGTGTCAGTTATACTTTACTGGATCCAGGCTTGTGTGTCAGTTATACTTAACTGGATCCAGGCTTGTGTGTCCAGTTATACTTTACTGGATCCAGGCTTGCGTGTCAGTCATACTTTACCGGCAGGTTTCAGGATGAGTCTGATTAGTCATGCTTGTTCCAGGCAGTCATTTCAGATACTGCACACCTGATTCCAGTCACATTTCGTACGGATTTGTTGTGGCGGCTCCGTGTATATCCCATGTTCCTGGACGCTATGTGGTGTCTCGCCTCTCAGAGGCACAAGGTGCACATGGATGGCAAGGCAGTGAACTGGAATAGGACAGAAACAATACAAAATAGAAATAGTTCACTGCCATTGTACATGTGCTAGGTAAACAGCAGCATCCAAACTACAGGGCAAAAGAAACTTCACTTGTCCAAAAAAGAAAGAAAGACGAATGTGAGGTTAATGATACTTATTTTACAAACAGGAAACGTTTTCCAATAATTTGACTGAAATTTCAGTGTAATATGCCAGTGTTGCATTTGCTGCAATTCAAGGTGTCAAAATAGAAAAATTACACAAAAAGAGTTCATTCAATAAGTGCATAAAGATTCACATAATCAGCCAAGGGACGCGTCATCTATAGCGAGTGCGACCATCCTGGGCTTCCGTACACACCAACACGCCGTCTCCTCATTGACGGCGTTGACCAGTCGTCGGATGACGTCAGCAGGAATCCTGTTCCATAAGCACAAGAGATCGAGTCTGTTCAAGTTACTGTTGGTTAGTTGGAGGTGTCACACGCTGTCTCTGTTTTCTGCTTGGGTTCAAACCTGTACCCGCGTTTCTTTTTTTTATACAATTACTCTAAAGGTAACAACTTTCTTTTGCCAGGTAGTTTATTGTATTGTTTCAAAGTAGCTTGTTGGGCTAGATGTTCAGTGATAAGGACTTCACGTTCAGTTGAGATCAAAGTTTCGTTGACTAAGGGGACTTCACTTTTTTCAAAGTTTAGTTGACTACAAAGGGGATTTCAAGTTCAGTTGACTTTTCAAGTTGTTGACTACAAGTTTGAGTTGACGACAGGGGATTTCAAAGTTTAGTTGTCTACAGGGGGATTTAGTTGACTACAGGGGGTTTCAGTTTGATTTGACTGCAGGGGGTTTCAAGTTTTTGACTACAGAAGACACTACAAAGGGATTTCAAGGTCCTAGGATTGACTGGGGATTTCAATGAGAGAGAGAGAGAGAGAGAGAGAGAGAGAGAGAGAGAGAGAGAGAGAGAGAGAGAGAGAGAGAGAGAGGTCCCCGACATCGTGATAGTCTGAAGATTTTACAGGCGCTTGCCACGTAGACCCTCTCCCTGTACCTGTCTCAATGTACCGTGTAGACACTCTCCCTGTATCTGTATCAGCCTCACTGTGCCTCAACGAACATAATTTACATTCACCTTCCGGGCTGATGGTTTCCGTGCTCACTTACGAGCGGGCTTCGCTACACAATTGAAATGTCTGGTGAGGTGGGAGCGTGTGTGTCGGAGGAGGGGGTGTATTGGGGTGGGGTGGAAGCGTGTGCGTCGGAGGAGGGTGTGTTGGGGTGGGTGGTGGGTGGTGTGTGTGTCGTCGGAGGGTGTATTGGGGTGGGGGTGGGAGCGTGTGTGTCGGAGGAGGGGTGTATTGGGGTGGGGGTGGGAGCGTGTGTGTGGGGAGGAGGGTGTAGTGGGGTGGGCAGGGGAGGACTAGGTGTGTGTGTGTGTGTGTGAGGAGGGGTGTATTGGGGTGGGGTGGGAAGCGTGTGTGTGGGAGGAGGGGGTGTGGGGTGGGGTGGGACTGAGTGTGTGTCGGAGGGAGGGTGTGTTGGGGTGGGGTGGAAGCGCGTGTGTGTCGGAGGAGGGGTGTATTGGGGTGGGGTGGGAGCGTCTGTGTGGGAGGAGGGGTGTATTGGGGTGGGACTAGTGTGTGGGGGGAGGAAAGAGGAGGGGTGTATTGGGGTGGGGTGGAAGCGTGTGTGTCGGAGGGCAGGTGTATTCCGGGTGGGGTGGGAGCGTGTGTGCGGGAGAAGGGGTGTATTGGGGTGGGGTGGGACTAGTGTGTGTGTGTGTGTGTGTGAGGAGGGGGTGTATTGGGGTGGAGTGGAAGCGTGTGTGTCGGAGGAGGGGTGTGTTGGGTGGGATGGGACTAGTGTGTGGGGGGGAGGAGGGAGGAGGTGTGTTGGGGTGGGGTGGAAGCGTGTGTGTCGGAGGAGGGGGGTGTATTGGGGTGGGGTGGGAGCGTGTGTGTGGGAGAAGGGGGTGTATTGGGTGGGATGGGACTGAGTGTGTGGGGGGGAGGAGGAGGGAGGTGTATCAGGGTGTGGGGGTGGGAAGCGTGTGTGTCCCGGAGGGAGGGTGTATAGATGTGAGAGGTGGGACTAGTGGGGGGAGAGGAGGAGGGTGTGTGTGTGTGTGTTGGGGGTGGGGTGGGACTAGGAGTGTGTGTGTGTGTGTGAGGAGGGTGTATTGGGGTGGGGTGGAAGCGTGTGCGTCGGAGGAGGGGTGTATTGGGGTGGGGTGGGACTAGTGTGTGTGTCGGAGGAGGGATGTATTGGGGTGGGGGTGGGAGCATGTGTGTGGGAGAAAGGGGTGTGTATTGGGGTGGGGTGCGACTAGTGTGTGTATATGTGTGTGTGAGGAGGGGTGTATTGGGGTGGGGTGGGAAGCGTGTGTGTCGGAGGAGGGGGTGTATTGGGTGGGATGGGACTGAGTGTGGGGGGTGAGGAGGAGGGGAATGTATTAGGGTGGGGTGGGTTGGGACTAGTGTGTGTGGGGGAGGAGGAGGAGGAGGGTGCTCGAGGGTGGGGTGGGAAGCGTGTGTGTGAGGAGGAGGGTGTATTGAGGTGGGGTGGGACTAGTGTGGGGGAGGAGGAGGGTGTGTGTGTGTGTGTGTGTTGGGGTGGGACTAGTGTGAGGTGGAGGAGGAGGGTGTATTGGGGTGGGGGTGGGACTAGTGTGTGGAGGAGCAGTGTGTTAAGAGGGAGGAGGGGTGTATTGGGGTGGGGTGGGACTAGTGTGTGTGTGGAGGAGGAGGAGGGAGGGTGTATTGGGGGTGGGGTGGAAGCGTGTGTGTGTGGAGGAGGAGGGGGGTATTGGGGGGGGGTGGGACTAGTGTGTGTGTGTTGGAGGAGGGCGGGTGTATTGATGTGGGAATTGGGACTAGTGTGTGTGGGGGAGGAGGAGGTGTGTGTGATGGTAGGTGGGAATTAGGACTAGTGTGTGGAGGAGGAGGGGTGTATTTAGGGGTGGGGTTGGGACTAGTGTGTGTGGAGGAGGGTGTATTAGGGTGGGGGTGGAAAGCGTGTGTGTAGGAGGAGGTGAATTGGACAGGAGCGTGTGTGTGGGGAGGGAGGTGTATATAGGGTGGGAGTGGGAGCGTGTGTGTCAGGAGGAGGGAGGTGTATTGGGGTGGGGTGGTGGTGGATTTTATTACTTATAGTAAAGAGCGGATATTATGCAATATCTTTCAAATGAAATGGTTACATAGCTTCTTAACAAACGTTGCATTGGGTATGAATAAAGAGAATCAAAACGGCGAATATTTCCTTTGTGCATTTTTAAATGTTCAACTCCATGAACTTGACCCCCAAAATCAGTGTTTGTTTTGATAACATTTAAGAACAAAATGTCATTTTCAGTTGGACATCGTCAGTAAAAGGTGTCGTTTTATTTCACTTTATAGTTATCACGGTAAGTTATATTGTATACATGTTATCTTATTGGAGCTACGTTATTTATGTTACATATAAATCCAGTGAAATGCCTACAACAGTCATCAGCAACAGAAGGGCTGGTCTTCATCCGGGGTTAGCACTCGAGGCTGCTGTTTACTGAAATATGCCCAGTGTTCGTCATTGACATTGTGGAAACGTCATTTTATTATTCTTGTTGTTATATAGATGTAAAAATACACGGAAACATAAAGATATTTTATCCAGTCAGAAATTACACTGTGAAGAGCCACCCCGAAGATCCATGCAGATCACATACCACCATATCTAGGTCAAGTCAGGGAGAATAGAAGATTGCTGTCAGTTATCCCTGGTTAAGTTAACATCTTTGATTTGAATTTGATTTCTTTTTCAAGAATATGTTTTCATTTTCCTTGCATTTCCCTACATGTTACCAACCTTTCTCCCGACCAGAAATTTAATGCAACAGCCTCTCATATGGTTTATGTTTTCAAGAATACGTTGCAGCGAATACTGTAACCATACGACCATAAGACAGCTGGCTAGACCTTGTTTCACTCAGGAACTTCATCGTTGTCTTCAGATGAAATTTATCAGCCACTGTGCAAAGATAAACAAACAGACATTGGGGCGAAAATGTCGAATTTATGCCAACCTGTTGGTAATCAGTGTCTAACCCCACACTGTAAACATTTAAACTCATTACGACTCAGTTTGGGGTTGTCTCCCCTCTTTGAAATCTTCTGCTTGATGGAGGAACATTCCACGTCACCGTGAAAATGGCGGTGCACGATTCTCTTCGATTGTAAGTGGGTGTGTTATGAGCAATGCGGTTTGGTATCTGTGGTATCTGTTTTAGTGAGTGTAAGGAGATGCGCATATGCATATTTAGATGAACGTATGTTTCTCTGAGATATGCGCGCCTCTACCCGCCGCGCATTGATTTTAACCGAAGAGCTACTGTTGGTATTGAATGCGTCAGGTGATTTCAAGTGTCAAAGGTTACCGATATACTTCCACTGTTTATAGAATAATAACTAGAGAGTATGCCCGTTTTCTGTTTGGTTTATTTCTCGAACTGCCCAATACAACTGTACATAAAGTGTCCACACATGAAGTAAGGGTTGCTTGACCAGGTGGGAGCAAGTTGATTTTGCTGATCAGGAAATTGACAGACATACAAGCGTCCAGGGCATGTACATGATGTAGACGCATTTGTTGACCAAGAAATAAAGTTACCATTTTAAAAAATATACAAAAGCATATTCATCAACAAAACTAAACCCAGTGGATCCCAGAACAATCCTTATTCTTTTTGCCGAAGCACTCTTGACTTGCCTAAATCAGAGTACACTTCTTAGGACTCCTATTTACAGACAAACATATTTGTAGGGGTTGACGTGTTTAATTGAAACACAATGTTTACAGGCATTTGACCAAATATTTCATTGGAAGAGTTGAATGAACTGATTCACCAATACATCGATACGCCCCCATGCTTTAAGTATACTCAATGTAAGTAAAAGTTAGTGTTTTGAAATGAAACTTGCCATATGCAATAAAGTGCACAGCATTGTGTGGATGTTTCATCCAAAACAATCAGATTACATTATGTCAACAGTGATTGCTGAAGAAGAATCAAATATAATAACACAGACATTTATTAGTAGATATAAGTTACTCTTTGTCAATACATGGTGTAACCAGCGATTTCTTGCAACACTTTTATCACCAGACCACTGTGTCAGGTGTACATTGTTTGAAGTGGTCTTCATTGTATTGTGCTGAATATGTGACACTGCTGATGGAAGTCTATAAAGTATTTTCTTTGAAAGCCGTTAATTTAATTATGTCACACCGATTAAAATATTTAGCAACAATTTATCATTTAACAACTTGATGAAAACTGAGGCAAAGCAAATTCTGCCTTTATCCGAACAACCTAAATACATATTTTTATGTGTTGATTCTGAAGTTGAAATTAAATAGTTAACTAGGTATCAGTTTTATGAAAGAACTAAGTGTTAAACGGTCATATGGAATTCCCTCCCTGATGAACTTAATCTGTCTCTAACCCTTGAAAACTTTTAAGTGATATCTCAAGACCTTTCTGTACAAAACGTTCCATATCAATGGACTTCATTAACACTTTATTCATTGTTAGTGCTATGAGCATACCTTTTTATTTCACATAAACTATACATTCATTTGGGAAATGACTTCAAATGAGACAATTCAAGGACAAAAAAATGACTGCAATAGTATTGCAATAATTGGTCGCAATAATAGCTATCGCAATAGTATGTTGCAACAGACTATCACTATCGCAATAGTTGTTTCCCACTCAATAGTCACCCCTAGTATAATGTATCAGCAGCAGGCCTGCGCTATATCACTGGTTTACCAGTATTAACCAGTTCAGACACGAAAATGATACGTATTGCGATACGCTGATCGAAAACCGGTATTTTGACATCCATTTGGAAAACTGCGTAACACTGGGAAACCTTGATGATCGTGGCATCTGCAGTGTTGTAAACTCCCCAAAATTTCGGCCAGATAACTGGTCTGGTAACTCTCAAAAGTTACCAGACCAGCTTGAAAGTTACCAGTCCAGAATTTTCAGGATTAACAGTGATTTTGAAGCCTATAAAAATCAGTAGGACAAATGTCCTGAGTGGGTGTCTGGCGATAGGCCATTGACCTAAAGCTCTTTTTGACATTTTTTAAATCCCAATGCCATCATATAACTAAATTGTTAATGACATTTAATGTTGCAACTTGGATTCTAGATATACAGCAAAATTAAAAGATCTAATCCCACTGTTGATTTATTTTTCTAACATTTTTCAAATAATACAACTACAACTTAAATAAATTGAGTTTTTAATGAAAATGCAAGCATTTATAATGTCCAGAAATATCACAAAAGAAGCAAAAACTATGGCGATTTTTTTCCATTTGTGACATGTCATAACATCCCCGTGCCTCTTTCTTTTATATTTTCATTTTTACGTAATCAGAAAAGTATTAAAAGCCACTCATATCGGGAAATAGGCGACCATACATATTATTTAAGAAAACTTTATAGGCGACCATACATATTATTTAAGAAATCTTAATATAAAGATTTCTTAAATAATATGTATGGTCAGCCTATTTCCGATATCAGTGGCTTTCCGCTCGGTAACATGACACAACAACGGAAAATACCTCCGTTTTCGAAGCTTCGTATGAATAACATGCGAGGCGAATCGTTTGATGGCGGGTATCGTTGGAAAGCTCTGAACATCAACAATAACACTATACCCTTGCTGAGAGTATTTTCACAGTTGTAAGATGCGATTTTATTGGATAAAGATTGGTTTCTAATGACGCTTTTTAGCCACAGTCTGCTATAAGAGTCGTGATTGGTCAAAATCAGACCACGTGACATGAGGCAGCCAATCATATTACGGCAATGGATACTGTCCTCGTAAGCGAAAACTTTTATATTTAGACGAAAGTTTTGGGTAAAATAATGCTATTCGAACATATTAAGCACGAAATCGCTATGTATATGCGTAAAGTATGGAACTCATTGGACGTGATCGTGCTAGGTGATGACCTGTGACAAAATGCTTCATGCATATATTTTCACATTAAACATCGTGTCAAAGCGTGAAGATTGAGGCTGGCATTGAAAGCCGAGATATCACTTGTCAGTGACTTGACTCGCATTGCATGATCGCACAAAAAGATGGAAATAGTAGTTTTATATGTATGCGTTTGACAACTTTTATGAATGCTATTGTTCATTTTATTCATTAGTTTATTCAATTTATTTAATGATTTCCTTGAAACATTGTTACATGCGGGTGGGGTCGGGAAAGCCCTTTTCTGATTGTCCAATGCTTAAAATAGCAGCCAGTCGCGCAATCTATTACATGTACATTTGGTAGCTTTGTGTGATTAAAATGGATGCGTAAATACATACACGCCGCGGAAACATGATCAAGATTTCGTGGTTAGTTTTTGATGAATTCGTAAATGATAATGTTCGTAATTTATTTTGTCGAATATGTGAAAATAACATCGAAATTATCAATCGGCACAATAACACATTTTTAAACGTATTTAGTCGTTATATACATTACAAAATTATGCTGATTCAACAGCCAGACCATCGGGCGTGCAACTTTTTAAAACTGACCGTCTGGTCGCAAAACAGACCGTCCCGGACGGTCGGGCAGGCGGGAGTTTGCAACACTGGCATCTGTGGTAATGGTGTTACACCTGGTTAAGTTGCCAAGTAATATCAACGGTCACATGACTCGCTGTAGGGCTGAGATGCAGTATATTCAGATAAATCCTTATTAGTCGTACACAAACCCTGAAAAATACAAGTATAGTCTTAGACATGGTTGCACAATAGATAAAGTCTTTTACAGGTATCACAATTAGTCTATCACAATTAATTCTTTAGTTTTCAGATCTTTTTATTCATTTCAATTCAGTAGGTGTACATTCAGATTGGGTGTGTTCAAAAATATACATATATTGTGTATGAATAACAGCTTTATGTAATTTATATATAGCAGCAATACATTGTTGGTTGGATACTGAAGTGTGCATGGAATAAGCATGTATGGACATCAAAACTGATATAAGCTGTGTACTCTTGAGTACGGATTAAACACAAAATTAAGACATGAGACAACTACATTTAGACTGCAATACAGTGATTAAAGGTTTCCACTTTGTATGGAATGAAGGCAGAGCGTTATTCTTCTTTGCAATAATTTCTTCAACATTAAAAACATCTTTGACAGTTTTTCTGAAACCTTCTATTTTTAACATATTTTGTTTGATGCTTGTGATATGGATATATTTTTTGGCTAATAAAATGTACAAATTTACGTTCTATAAACACATGGTGAAGATTTTCTGGTTCGGATTGACAAAAAGAGCAAATATTTTTATCAATAAGTCTCATTTGCAATAGTTCTCTTTTTGTGTAAATTGCTCTATTCAAAAATCTGTACTGAAAATCTAACAGTTTCACATCCTTGGTACAGTTTCTATATTTCGTAAAAACAGTAATCCATGAAATATTTCTGTCGAGTTCTTTCTGCCATTTATGACACACCTTGGGGGAGTGTTACAAGCAATCATTTTGTCATAATAATTCCTACCACCTTTCTTTTTAGAAAGCAAATCTTGCAGAGTTGAGTTTCAGGAGCGGTTTTGAGTGTTAATTGCATGAGAGGAAAGAGTGGTTTTCCAGGTTTTGGAATATTCAAAATAAGTTTATTGTACTCTAAAACAGTTCCTTTAATGTGCTAAAAAATTTCATTCATTGAAAGACAAGAAACCATATTCTCCCCAAATGTCTCCTATTAGGTGAATACCTCCATCGAACCAATTTTTAATGTAAAGACTACTATTTCTACACTGGTGATTCATCCACAAAGGTTCAGTCAATATTTCTTCTACTTGATTAATATTAACTACATGTTGTTGTTTGTAATAGTTACTCCATATAGCTAAAACCTCACTCCAAAATAGATTGTCAACCATTAGATGTTAATCAATGTGTGCACCAAGAAGAAATATCTTGTTGAATGGAAATAAACTTGGATTTTGAGTTGATGTTTTATTCAAATGTCTTGTTAGGCATGACAGCTTTAATGAATTTATAAAGGATCTGATCTCTTGCCATTATCAGTTCACCTTCTTTATATTTTCTACATCAAGTTGTTCTCTTTGTTGTATCCTTCTTACCATCCCACATGAAGTTATACATAATGTCATTCAATTGATTAA